CCACTTACGTCAGAAGCAAAAAAACGAATTTAATTATTAATTGTACAGGCAGTACTGCACAGCGTGCGTTATGAGTTGTAAAAAATAGATAACTTATCATCAGTACTGCACAGCGAGAGTTATAAATGGAAAAAATAACAGAATTAGTTAACACTTGTATTTAAGCTTTACAAATAAACCAACGTTTTTCCTTCGATATTCTATGTCAAAAATCAATCCAACCCGGAGATCGACGACGACTTTGAAATATGTCGCGATCTAAAAACAGTCCAGGTGAGACGACTCAATCAGTTCCTGCTCCAACGGATCTCGATACATGGTAGTAATAAACATGAATTGACACTCAGTACATACTACTAAGTGTAATGAAAAAGCTGCTAGGTCGTTATTTCATAATCGCCCTTGCAGTACTTTGAAGCGTACAAAAAAAAATTTTGGTCAAAAAAATTTTGGTCAAAAAAATTTTGGCCCAAAAAATTGGTCAAAAAAACTTTGGTCCAAAAAATTAAAAAAAAAATTTGGTCAAAAAAATTTTTGGACAAAAAAAATTCGGTCAAAAAATTTCGGAAAAAAAATTTTGGTCAAAACAAATTTTCGAAAAAAATTTTTGGTCAAAAAAATTTTTGGAAAAAAAAATTTGGTCAAAAAAATTTTGGCCCAAAAAATTTGGGTCAAAAAAATTTTGGTCAAAAAAATTTTTGGAAAAAAAATTTTGTTCCAAAAAATTTTTGGAAAAAAAGTCCATAAAATTTTGGCACAAAAAATTGGTCAAAAAAATTTTGGCCCAAAAAATTAAAAAAAAAATTTGGTCAAAAAAATTTTGGCCCAAATTAAAAAAAAAATTCGGTCAAAAAATTTTTTGGACAAAAAAATTTTTGGTCAAAAAAATTTTTGTCAAAAAAATTTTGGACAAAAGAGTTTTTGGTCAAAAAAATTTTGGTCAAAAAAATTTTTGATCAAAAAAATTTTGGTCAAAAAAATTTTGGCCGAAAAAATCTTGGTCAAAAAAATTTTGGCGCAAATTAAAAAAAAAAATTCGGATAAAAAAATTTTTGGACAAAAAAAATTGTGGTCAAAAAAATTTTGGTCAAAAAAATTTTTGGACAAAAGAATTTTTGGTCAAAAAAATTTTGGTCAAAAAAATTTTGGGAAAAAAATTTTGGTCAAAAAAATATTGGTCAAAAAAATTTTGGTCAAAAAAATTGTTGGTCAAAAAAATTTTGGTCGAAAAAATTTTTGGACAAAAAAATTCATGGTCAAAAAAATTTCGGGAAAAAAATTTGGTCAAAAAAATTGTGGCCCAAAAAAATTGGGTCAAAAAAATTTTGGTCAAAAAAATTTATGAAAAAAAATTTTGGCCGAAAAAATTGGTCAAAAAAATTTTGGCCCAAAAAATTAAAAAAAAATTTTGGTCAAAAAAATTTTTGGACAAAAAAATTTTGGTCAAAAAAATTTTGGTCAAAAAAATTTTGGCCCAAAAAATTGGTCAAAAAAACTTTGGCCCAATAAATTAAAAAAAAAGTTGGTCAAAAAAATTTTTGGACAAAAAAAATTCGGTCAAAAAATTTCGGAAAAAAAATTTGGTCAAAACAAATTTTCGAAAAAAATTTTTGGTCAAAAAAATTTTTGGAAAAAAAATTTTGGTCAAAAAAATTTGGGTCAAAAAAATTTTGGTCGAAAAAATTTTTGGAAAAAAAATTTTGGTCCAAAAAATTTTGGAAAAAAAAATTTTGAAAACAAATTTGGTCAAAAAAATTTTGGGAAAAAAAAATTTTGGTCCAAAAAATGTTGGAAAAAAAATTTTGGTCAAAAAAATTTTGGTCAGAAAAATGTTGGTCAAAAAAATTTTGGTCAAAAAAATTTTGGCCAAAAAAATTTTTGGGAAAAAATTTGGGAGAAAAATTATTGGGAAAAAAAGTTTTTTGGAAAAAAAATTTGGTGACCGAAGTTTTAATACCTGCAAATGTGCTTTTGTACATTCCATATATTTAAGAGAATGTGTTATTGAAAAATGCATATGAATGAATGGATGGAATGGAGGACGCGACATCTGTCGCATATGTAGTAAACTTTCAGCAATAAGGTGCAGTTTAAACAAGTCTATATATTCTATATATAATAAATCTATACAATATATTCTTAATTCAGTTAAATTTAAAAATTTGTACTTTCATGTACAACAATATGGATTACCTTTTATAAGTGGCGAAAGGAGATTATTTCAATACATGTCAAAACTCAAAAATTTTAGCGAAAAAAAAGAATTTTGGAGAGAAATTTTTTTTTTCAAAATTTTTTTTCCCTAAAATTTTTTTTCAAACATTTTTTTCTCACAAAAATTTTTACTCAAAATGTTTTTCCAAATTTTTTTCCCAAATTTTTTTTCACAAATTTTTTTTCCCTAAAATTTTTTTTCGTAAAAAATTTTTTTTCCCAAAATTTTTTTTTCCTAAATTTATTTTTAAAAAAATTTTTCTCCCAAAAATTTTTACCCAAAATTTTTTTTCCCAAAATTTTTTTTTCCAAAATTTTTTTTTCTCAAAATTTTTTTTCCTCAAAATTTTTTTCAAAAAATTTTTTTTTCACAAAATTTTTTTCCCAAAATTTTTTTTCGCTAAATTTTTTTCCCAAATTTTTTTCCCAAAATTTTTTTTCAATATTTTTTCCCAAAATTTTTTTTTCAAAAATTTTTTCCCCAAAATTTTTTTCAAAATTTTTTTTCGCTAAATTTTTTTTCCTAATTTTTTTTTTGAAACCAAAAAAATTACAAGTTAAAAGCTCTGAAAAAACTTTTTGATGCAACCAAAAAAACTTATAAAATTACAAGCTAAAAGATCTGAAAAAAATTCTTCAATGCAACCAAAAATACTTATAATATTACAGGCTAAAAGCTCTGAAAAAAAGTATGAAGACGAACACGAACACGAACACGTTAACTCGGAATATTTTTAAGAGCAAATTTTCAAAAATCAAAAATTTTTATAATTGAACCAGTTTCTGGTAGAACTTTAATGGTTTAGTATGATGATTGAGACCAAGTACTCTATCGTTATACCAAGTGAATCAAAACAAAATGAAACCCAACAAAAAGTTGAGTTGACAATGTGTATATACTACTAAGTGCAATGAAACAGCTACTAGGTCGTTATTCCACAATAGTTAATAAGTTATAGCAGTCGCAAAAAATCGAAAATAAACATTTTTATTTATCTTTACGTTTCAAAACCTTCTGAACATTTTGGCATACCTTAGAAAAAATGGATGCATGTGTATGTGTGTGTGCGTGTGTATATGTGTGTGTGCGGATACAAATTTCGTCGACGATTTCGGGAACGTGGATGAAGCGATTTGAATAATTAAAAAAAAACATTCGATTCGTATTGATAAGAAGACATAGTGTCTAGCCGTTCCGAAGATATAGTGCAAAAAGTGCCAAAAACGGTAACTCAGTTTTTAAGAGAACGGAGCGTCCAATTTGAATAATATAAAAAACATTTTACTTGTATTGATCAAATTGAAATTGAGCGGTTTCGAAGATCTAGTAAAAAAAGTAAAAAAAATGCCATTTGGCGGTCAAAAATGACCATTAGACATATGCACTTCAAATTATCAGATATTTTATAGAGATTTTAACAATAAGCTCTCCATTATACTGTATTTCTGATCATTTGTGTCAAATTATGAAAAGTATTAGGAAGGAGTTGAATTGTGGTTTTTGAGGCTATTACAAACTTTTGCTGAATCACTACAACCACTATTAGTTGTGGGCAAAATTCAAGTTTTACGAAAACATTTAGAGTATAGGTTCCCAAACTTGTTTGTGCCGTGGACCCCCTGCAATCATTTTTGTTTTGCTATGAACCTCCTATATTAAAGTGACCACACGTACTAGTTTCGCCGGAACAGTCGCGGATTTCCATCAAGTGATGCGGGTTTTTATAAAATCAATATTTGGCCTGAATTGTTAAGGCACAGTTAAGGATGAAATAATCGCTTACTCACACAAATATAGAAATTGCCTAGCTGATCACCCGAACTTGCTCGCGAGAAAACTTCAGAACAACACTACCAGGGCCCGATTAAAAAGAAAATTTCTTCTGCATTAATCAATTATAGATAAGACCTTCGACAAATCACTGGCAATGGTCAGATGATTTGTATTTTGCCAATGCCTTCAGTTTCATGTCAAATATTTTACTTGTTGTCCGCTTCAGGACAGTTGTAAAAATTATTAAAATAATAATAATAAAAAAAAAATAAGAAAAAAAGTGAGCCGATGAAAAAGTATTAGATGTTTTATGTAGGTTATTAAGAAACGTTAGTGTTGTTTTTGTATCAGTTGACAAAATTTGTATCTTTTTTCGTTTGTGTTTGTACATTTGTTAATAAAAAATTTATTATGAATTGCACTCAAAAACATAACCCTTAGACACTATGAATAGAACAGCTTTAAACTCAGATACAGAACAGAAATACTATGTAGTGCGTTGACAGATTAGTCTAATCATATTATACTTCAAGAAAAGAGACCAGTCGTAGGAAATTGTATAAGAAATCAAATATAAGCTTCTAAAAAAAAGACAAAATATTTAGAAATCTTCCAGCTGTTTAAAATTAGATTAACACTTCACACGGATCTGAATATACTTGGAAGAAAATGAATTGCTTAAGAATGTCAAATTTTGCACAGAATGATTATTAGTTAATGAGAGTTAAGAGTGACAGACAATGTAATGAACTAACACTATAATGCATTATTCACTAAATTTCACTAAATGTTTATATTAATAAGTTAAAAAGTGTGAAGTTATTCCAGTGGATTAAGTATCATGTATACATAGATAAAAGAAGAATATATTTAAACTGGCAGTGAGCCATAACCATAAGCGATCCCTATGGCTCGCTCCACTGAACGAACGCGCACGAACGCGCACGACAAATCCTGTTTTTGACATGCGCGAGATTTGCTTTTGCTTGCAATAATTTAGTCTGCGCACATTGCGAACAGATTCGTCGTACGGATTAGTGCAATGGAGACGAACCACTACGTTTCTCTGTTTTGGCATTTGTTGTCGATGATCAACTGCGATTGACACATGTTGATGTTCTTAACGAAATTAAATAAATTTGTATCTAAAATACTTCGATAATGTCCAGTACGTACTGGATGACTCGCGACGTTCAGTACGGGTTTAAGCCGAAATTAGGAACGCAGAATAAATTTTACAAGACTCTTTACAGTTCGTTCTATAGACGAACCTCATCTTCCACTAAACGTCACCCTGATTATTTATATGGAGGTGTCTTCAATTTAGAATTTTCTCCCGATAGTTCTATATTAATATCCGCCAGGGAGAAAAATGCGTTCATATTGTGGGATCCAATTTCATTGGAAGAAATTAAAGTAGTGGAAAATGCTCACCATGACTGCGTCAATTGTATAAAGTTAGTATTAAAATTAAGCAAAACACCAGATATAAGCTATCATATTCTATCTATTGATAATTTTATAGGTAGATTAAACAAAAACGTATAATGCTGAAAAATGATAATAAACGTTTTCCCAATTTTTTAAACAATGAAAATTGCACAGAGATTTGCTTTCATGGTCTTACTTAATTGGTGTAATTTTATAACACAGCTTGATTGTTGAATTTGAAATGATATATTCGATGAGCAAATTGCAATTAGGGGATTTAATTGCTCTGTCATTAGCGAAGAACTAATCTGAATCATTCGAGAGTACAGACAATGATTATTTGCTATAATCAAAACTTATTTATTTCGATATAGTTTTATGACCACTTTTAAACTTTATGCATTACTACTTGTACCACATTTTCTTGAATATAAAACAAATACTTTCAATGCATACTGAATTTTAGGTATAGCTCTCATAAGAAATCACAGCAGAGACTTGTTTTCTTTTAACAACAATCTGGAAATATATTATATATTAACTTTGACATTTATTCCATCAGATAATATATAACTTTGCAAGATGTTTGATAAATAATTACGTTGATTCTTAAATAAAAACAAAAATTGATTATTACAAATATATAAATTTATATATATATAATTATAAATGTATATATTTGTGTGAAAAGTACAATGTCGCTACCACTATCAGTATTACTGGTAGCAAAGTCATCACTGCTTTGTAATTCATCACTAATTATTTTTTCTTCTTACAAACGATGTATGCCTGTGCCTCACCAAGTTTCGGAAATGTTTTATTTATGTTTCGTTCGGTAGACTTACGACGTCTTTAAGGCGTCCTGTTCGTGTTTAGGCCGATAACCTTGCGACGACACAATTAAACAGATTAAAAGATTTGTAATAAAATAACCCAAATTATATTGCGCGTATTTATATATTTAATGTTATAAATTATATTTCAGGTTCTTTTTGTATAGTTTTGATGTAATTGTTTCTATTTGATATAACTGTATTAAAAACAGAACCTTTTAAAGTAGAATATTTCATAACCTTTTAGAAATACAGTATATATCTCATTCCTTTGTTTGACTTCGAAAAACTTAAACATGCTTTTATGTAAAGCTCTTGATAAATTACAATTTAATGAGCAATTTTGTGCTGAATATGTTTTATCCAATTTTTACTTGCCTTACTAATTATGGGATTGCAGTTATAATAGCATCATATTTCTAGATTTGTCGATAGCAACACATTTGCTACTGCTTCTGATGATACCACAATAGCTTTATGGGATATTAGGAATTTAAAATCTCGGAAACGGCTTCTGAATGGACACAGGAATTGGGTGAAAAACATAGAGTATGAGCCAAATCAAAATCTCTTAATATCATCAGGTTTTGATGGAAGTGTATTTGCTTGGACACTCAATGCTTCAACAGAAAATGCAAACCTTTACAAGCAGATCTTCCACACTGCAGGTAGAAAAGTTGGCTCAAATATATGCAAAGATGTCTCTGTTTCTGCATAAAAGTATTCACACACTGTAATCTGTTTCAGGATTGATGAGATGCAAACTCTCACCAGATTCTTCAAAACTGCTCCTATGTACCACCGGAGGATTTATGGTTGTAATACACGATCTGAACATTTCGAAATTGGCGGAAGATCTAGATGGATTTAAGGTATAATTTTATTCACTTCATCTTAACATGTAGAAGACGCACGAAATGTGTTATTTGAAATAGGCTATTTTTGGTGTGGTCGCCACGAGTAAAGCACAATTTTCGATGCGGTCTTTAAGGTGTTAAACTAAATTTATATTTTATTATATTGTTTTATTGTTATTTTTGAACAAATATGATTTTACTATTATATAATACTATTATATAATATGATAAATCTGTTAAATAACTGAATTTATTGTAATTTAGCCAAACATCTTCCGATTGATGCAGATGGGTCGACAAAATATTCCAATTGCCGCCCAATATAAATATCTCTTCAAAGAAACTCGTTCGAGGAATAGAGTAGAAATTATCTCAGATTTTCCTGAGAACAATGACGCAGAAGTTATAAGTTCATTGCAGGTATTCATGACTTAAAATTATAGTCTTATCATCTAATGGTCACATTTTTTTGATTTGCTAACCTTTTTCTTATTGTGGTTTACAATTTAAAATGTGACTTGTAAAATATTCAAATTTATTTTAATTTTTATATTTAAAGCTTGTTTCATTATATATGCATCTTATGACAAAAAAACATTTTTATAATTATGTAAAATTCATAATCAGTCTATTCATAATTTTTTGTATGTTTAATTCAGATTCACCCTCATGGTTGGTGTGTCGTTAGTCGAAATACAAACTGTGATGAATCTTCTGAGGTCAGTAATTATTGTGATTCTATATTTATGTGTCGAACAAATAGTTCGTTTTATTGACTTTTTCAATGAGTTTTCAGTCTGAATCATCACAGTTTTATGTCCATTAAACAGAATAAAGATTCACCCTCATGGTTGGTGTGTCGTTAGTCGAAATACAAACTGTGATGAATCTTCTGAGGTCAGTAATTATTGTGATTCTGTATTTATGTGTCGAACAAATAGTTCGTTTTATTGACTTTTTCAATGAGTTTTCAGTCTGAATGCATCACAGTTTTATGTCCATTAAACAGAATAACTGTTATAAATCAGAACTTTATACCCAAATTAGTAAAATTGATCATTTTATACTCACAATATGTCATTTTCTGTACAAAATGTTTACATTAAAATATTGATACTTCTTTTTCTATTTTATACACAGATCAAGACAATTTTCTAGAAGAATAATTAGTTGAAAATAGTTAAAACTTGTATATATTTTTTGAGCACTATATTTATAGTGTGTACTATATATTACATATAGTTTAGATGGTCTTTTTAAATGAAAAATTCATTGTCAAAATTAATAGCTCCTTTTACTTTATCTGTTATAATTGTTTATATAATGGTAATGCTTTATGTACAGTGGACATGTGTGCATGATATCCAGAAGTACGTGCCAAAAAGTGATGACAGGTGTAACGATAATAGTAACGACTGTCCTCCTGCAAGAAATAACATAAACCCAGTACCTGCACAGGTATTGTTTAAATGAGTATATATATATATAATATATATAGAGATATATATTTATTTATTTATAAGAGAACAAATAGGCACTGAATAATTGTGTAATAAAAAGTTAAACTCTTTCATTATAGGCAAATGGAGGATCTAATTCTGATCTATGGGAAGCGGCTCTTTCAATTCGTGACCAACGCACTAGGCGTATCAATAACCCAACCCGGAGCACAAATCCTCAACATCAGTTTATGCATTTTATTGCTAGAATTAGTAGTGGACTTGTGCCAAATACTTTGGAAGAAATTGTTAATGGAATTAACATTCAAGCCATACCTACCACCTCAAATTTTAATAGGTCAAATGGACAAGAATCCTTACCTTCTGGGACTAATGTGGATAACACAATAGATGAAACAACCTATTATGACAATAGACCAAGATTGATAAGATACATCCTGGAATCTAACACTGGTAAAGGTTTTATAAAGGAATCATCTTTTTCACCTGAAGGCCGAGTGATATGTTCACCTTTTGGTTATGGTGTTAGACTATTAGCATTCAATGAAAATTGCCATGAATTATCAATGGTAAATAACAATTTAGGAGAAGCTACAGAATTAATTCCTGTGTGTCATATGTATTGCCACACAAACGCCGTTGTTAGTACAAAGTTTAGTCCAAAGCATTCTCTTTTTGTGTCTGGCTCTTTAAATGGGCAGATGATTAGTCATCATCCTGTACTTTAGATTTAGTTAAATTAACTTTAATTTATATACTAATTTAATTAGTTGAAAGCTTTAAGTATGTGTGGTTGATTTATCTTTAATAGTGAATTCTACATTACAGTAAGAAAATAAAATGTATACAAGCAAGAATGTAAATAAAAGGAATTTTATATGTAATACATAATAAAATTATATTTAAAATAATAACATTTAAAATAATTTATCTAAATATTTTTTTTTAAATAAGGACAAACATCTGTTCATTCATTTAAATTGTTAGTTATTATATTCGTTGCATTTTGTATCAATGTTCGTCTCCATTAACGCGGCGAGTGCGTACTGTGTAGTTTGGGCACCGTGCTATTCGTAGTTCGTTCTAACCCAGAATTATTACAAATCGAATCATTTATATCGCGTTACATGAAACCCAAAGAATTCAAATAAGAGTAGGGGTAATACGGAAGAAATAACACGTATGGACAAAATACATAGGCACCTTATTTGATAATTGGGGCGCGTTCCAGTAGTCAGTTCAAACGTGTTCTCGTCTTCAAAAGTTTATTTTATGGATGGTTTTCTCATATTTTTTGGAGACATATTTATTGTTATTTGTAATTATTAACTTCCCATAGGGTAAGTTATTGTAATCGTCCAAAATCCGAAATTGAAATTTTTTACATTTCTCGACGTTTTGAAGGTTACTGAACATTTTGGCATACCTCAGAAAAAATAGATGAGTGTGTGTGTATGTATGGATACAATTTTTCGTCCACGTTTTCGGGCAGACGGATCAACCGATTTGAATGGTTCAAAAAACATTCGATTCCTCTTGATAGGGAGATGTGCTGATTAGTTTTTGGCAAAGGCAGGTCCAGCCGTTTCGGATATACGGAGCAAACAGTGCAGAAAATGGAAATCGAGTTTTTGAGAGATCGGAGCATCCGATTTGAATGATCCAAAAAACATTCAATTCGTAATGATGGTGATTATTTTTGGCAAAGGCAGGTCCAGCCGTTTCGGAGATACCGAGCAAAATGTACAATAAATTTTGTTTTTGAGAGAACTAAGCATCCGATTCGAATGATTCAAAAAACATCCTGCTTGTGTTGACGAAAGAATTGCTTCTGGCAAAAAATTTTTTTTTTGTATATCGAACATAATTCAGATTTTAATTTTAATTTCAGCTAAAGTTCTAAAGCTCACTTAAATACTATAAATAAATAATTTTAACATTGCAATTCAGTTTATATAATTCTTATAAATATTAGATAATGTTATAGTATTTATTTATAATAATATAATTGAAAACATTTAATATTCCTCGAACATTTCGTTACGGTACGGGAAGTTCCTACAATTTGCCTTAAGGCACGATGCCATACACACCACTAGTTTTATTTAAGATTCAAATTGGAGATTCATTCCAATTCGTTAATTTGGCAATAGATGATGATTTTTTCTCCACCTTCTAAATGATTTATAATTTGAATTTTATTTTCAAGTGATCCTTGACAAAAAAGAAGGTGTTATTTTAATCCTTCTTTATGTTCTTTTGGCATGATGACAATTTGACGGTTCAGAATTTTTCTTTAGTATAAACCTTAAACGAAATGTGTTTATGAGCTGTTGAACGAAAACCATGTAACAGAAAGTCCGTGTTATCGGAGGAATGTCGCATTTTCAGCTTCACGTAATATGAAAACGGATAGTTGACTGTAAATATTTTAAATATTGGCATTTCATACTCTCAAAAAGGCATAAGGATGTATAATAAATCGGTTAAGTACAAGGTTGTGGCACATTTGATTCTTAAATTTAGCTATGCGGTTTCATAACATGCGTGTTTTTCGCATTAACAGTAAACTTGTGTTCTGTTCAAACTAAATTTTCAAAATTCACCTATAAAATTTATACAAAATAAGATGATGCTCACTTACCCCTATGAATTAACGCTGAACCAATGCTAACCCGTCTTTCTAATTGAAAGTATGTTATAAAAAAGCGTGTTATGGAACATGTTTCTTTTGGACACCGATGCTGGGAAAAAATAAACTGAAACGAATTAAAACATGATTTATGAGAATAAGATATGATATATGTAATAATAATGAAAAGATAATCCATTATCAATTATCTTAAAAGTTTTAATTTTGGTAATCTATTTAGCATTATTATTTTGTCCTAGATTACATTCTTTGTTATTAGTATTATGACTTATTTCTACTGATTTAGAATGTAGAGAGGGTTCTGATGTGCAATTGCCCTTGCCCTTGCCCATGCTCATGTAGTCCTTCACAGACCGACTTTCTGTTGAACTTCCAATAGATCGAGAAATTCTACAAAAAAATATTAAATTATTCATATCATCAATGAAAGATACGATTTTAATCTAAACTTACCCGCGAATTAACTTTTTGGCATGCATATCATTATAATTATTTAAAAATTCATTTTGTGTAGGCATGGGTGATTCTGATGGCGCAATGGTCTTTGCAATGCCTAGACTAAAACAAATATGTTAAGCAAATTGGCACATATCCCACTACACAAATAAATTGTGAATAAAAATACCTGTTTTCTCTTAATGATAGATTTAATAGAAAGCCTTTAAGATTTGGTAATGTCGCCCTCAAATCTTTTGTAACTAAACCAAGAAGAGACCATCTCAGCTGAGCTATATTTTTATTCAAAAGGTACACACCGTAATGTAATGCACTAGTTGAGTAATTTGATTTTGAATGTAGAGGAAATCTACAAGTAAATAATTAATTTGATAACAAAAACAAAATGATCAATTAACCCATATTAGCCTAAATTTTATTGAAGATATAATTGAAATCAATAAAGATCTTATTGACTTTCTTTTTTTAATTTTCACAAAACGTTTATTTTTCTTTTTTTATAAAAAAAGTAAAATAAAATTGAATTTCTAATTATGATTTTATGTATTATAAAAAGCCAACATGGGTTAAAAAAACTTACTCTCTTTCGTTATCTGCTATGTAATCTGTAACATTGTCAATTATTTTAGAACGAGACCCAAGATGAATTAAAGGGTACCTGTAAATGAAATAGAATTACATTAATATTTCATGTATTTATATTTAGTCCACATACAAATCTTTATGACGCATACTATGATAAAAAATTATCAATTTGATAAAATTTGCTATTGCAATAAACATTTTATCACAAATGGTTAAATATGAAGATATTATGAAAAAGATTTGCATATTTTATTTATAGGCAAAACCTAGTATAACACAGTACTTCTATAGCATGGATTCATGCTTATATGGTTTGAGAATTGAGAATATCCTGATTTTAACATGGTTTCACTCCAACATGATTTGAGAATTGAGCAAAACCCTTATATATATATATATATATATATATATATTATATATAATAATATATATATAAGATATAATAAAAGCTAACTTTCTCTAATTTATAATTAGTAAAATTAATGCTCAACAACAGCTCAATTATTGTGATAAAATTAGTGCAAAAGATGTCTAATTTGACACTTTTCATTCCAATGCCTATATTCGATTAACAAAAAAGACCTAAGGCTTATCCTTATAGTTAGTCATTTTCCTTAATTGAAAATCATATCAATGAAATGAGCACAAAATTCAAAAAGAAACTTCATAAGTACTTAGAATAATATACAGAAATTTATATAAATATTTACACTAAAATCAAGCAAATGAAGATAACAAATTTTTTGCATGAGTAGTTTTATGGAACAAAACTACCAGGATATATGACTACCAGTATGAATAAAAACAGATCTGGAGTTTCTGAGTTTAAAAAGGAGTACAAATAACAAAAACTACAGGGTCAAAAAACTTATATTCAAATTATAAAATTATTTTAAGGATAGTTTAATATCATGTGCAAAATTTGGGTTTGCACCATTATTTGAATTCTGTCAACTTCAACAATAATAAATTCAAAACAATAACAAATAAATTAATTTAACAAATCTTTTTGTAGTGGAATAATAATAATTATTCCTTTATAAACTTTATGTATAAAATAAAAACAAATCTTTATTAATATACATATAGTATTTTTCATGAAATAAAAATACCTTACATTCTCCTATCATTTTCTTTTCAAGAATTAATTGTATATTTTACAGGTAGTTCGATTAGCATACTATTACTTTACACAATTATAAATCATAAGTAATAATATAATACTAAATATTTTTCATTGGTTGTACACCATTGAAAGAGGTCATTTACCAACAAGGATTATCGTATACAGAATACAGAATATAAAACACAAAGTTGCAATAATTTAGGACATTTTATACCTAGAAAGTCATAAAATTGCTTGTGAGTCGAGAAAACGGCCGCTTCTTTCAACACAAATCTTTGTATTAATAACAAAATTTCATTTAGTACTAGTTTAGGGAAGTCGGATATGACAAAAACTCCGATATAACTCCGCCGGGATTCACCCCAAGGGAGGAGATGTATCGGAGTCTTAACTCCAGAGTGAGTTACCCATTTCATATACATATATATATATATATATATATATATATATATATATATATTATGATATATTGAAAAATTGCTGAATGATAACACACATACCATGTCGAAACATATAAATAAATAGTTCATTATTTATTGTTCTTTTATTTCGACGATTGGCTGCAAAGTAACATTCAAACATATGTCTCAATGTTGAACAAAAAATTTAAGTCTTGTATGTGTGTTATCATTCAGCAATTTTTTAATATTTATACAGTATCTAAAAATTTTTGTTACAAAGTTTAAACATGTTAAATTTAAAATATATTATAAAATAAAATAAATTCAACAAGTAAAAAAATTGATACATACCATACCAAGAAAAACACTCACAAATAATTAAACTAACAATAGTAGTAAACTAAATAGTAAACTAATAATAGTAATAGTAGTGTAGTTACTGATACATGTATGGCGAGCCAAGAACCGAGCGCAACCAATAAAAGCCGAGAATTCAGGAAAAGTTGACTCTTATCATAATATTATTAATTTTTTTTAAAATAATTTTTCAAATCTTTGACTCCTGTTGTTTTTCGAATTAAGTCTTTTTAATTCACTGTTCAACTATCCTTGAAATCTACTCCTGCATCAACTTTTCATGAATTCTCGGCTTCTATCTGTTGCGCTCGGTTCTTGGCTTGCCATACATGTACCAGTAACTACACTACATAACTCTTTGTTTAACTTTAAAACATTTTTTTTTTTATTTTATTCATGTTTTATTTTTCAATTATTGTTAGTTTAATTATTTGTGAGTGTTATTCCTGGTGTGGTATGTATCCATTTTTTACTTGTTTAATTTATTTTGTTCTATAATATATTTTAAATTTAACCTGATTGAACTTTGTAAAAATTCTTTTAGATACCGTATAAATATTAAAAAATTGCTGAATGATGACACATATACCGCGTCGAAACGTATAAATAAATATTTCATTTTTTATTGTTCTTTATTTCGACGATTGGCTGCAAATTAACCCTCAACATATATATATATATATATATATATATAGATATAGATATATAACTACATACCTTAAAGGAATTTGTAGAATAATGCTAATCATATATACAGTGTGAGCTGCAAATCCAAGAGCTACAGACAAACTATTGCAGTAATTTTGATTTAAAGACTCCGCGTCCGGTAAAGGCACATTCAATATATTCATAATATCCTTGGAAACCTGTTAAAATGATAATTAAATAAACTTATATAAATATTATGTCAAATCATAATAAGACTTTAATACATTCTCATATCAAGTAGGTAAATAATAAATTCTGTAACTAACAATTCAATTCATAATTGCAAAGAAATGAATTAATGAACTAATGAAATTAATAGATATAGAGAAGTAAAACTTTACATAAATTATCAAATAAAAAGTTGACAAGAAAACAATTTATTTAATTTAGATATATCTATAACTGAGATAAGGTGCTATAATTTGATTTTATAAACTTGCAAATACTCACTTCTGTTATGGGATAAATTGTTAAAATTCCGGAGAGCAATTTTGCTTGCCTAATGCACAAAGCTGCCTTTGTTACATTTAATGAGTCATTCAACGTCTTCAATGAAAATTCATTTTTCTTAGAGTTCTCTCGGTCTTTACTCAAGCTATGATAATTGTTCATCAAATCAGAACCTATATTGAGAGAAGAATAATTACAAGAATGCTTTTAAAATTATCAAGCAAAGGAAACATGTAAAAATTACATCATTTTTATAATTATGATGAAAAATCATTCTGAAATATTGCACAATGCATAATTCACAATGTGCAAAGTCCATTAGAAGTCATACAAAATAGGGAAGACTTGATTATGATCTATTTATATACAATTTGAATTAATACTGCATGGTGAAATACCATTTGACTTATAAAGATTTATTTATTCATTTCTAACATAATGTTAAAAATTATGGCATTTCATTACTGATAATGTAATAAATAAATGTGGCACATTAATTTCTGTTTCTGTATTATGCTCGTACAAAACAGATGAATATTATCAGTAGATAAATTTTTTTTTTCTTTTAAATTTAGGTGGTCACCATATAAGGTATCACTGTACTGGCACTGATATAGTATAAAATACAACCAGGAAGAATATTTCTTATCTTACCTAAGTCATTATTTGATTCATTAATAGCTAACTTTTGCGATTGCAACAGGCGTAATTTAATTCGTTTCAAATCCGCTTCAACATTTAATAATTTACAAACACATTTAGCAGTTTCAATCTGCTTATGAAGTTCATGTGCTCTCAGTATTTTATCTGGATCAGGTTGAGGTGACTAAAAAAATAAATTGAAATATATGATATACTCTGGTTTCAGAGATCTTCACTAGTTTATGCAGTTAAAAAAGCAAAACTTTTTTCAAAAAATGTCAAAAAAACAAACAAATAAAAGAAATGGATAATTTACAACATTTTCATATATTTAAATCATTTAATTTCTAAAAATAAAGATAATCAAAATAAAATTTGTTTCGTTCGTTTAATAAAGTCTAAACACATTAATAAAATAATATCTATAGACATTATCAAATTATTCAGTTATAAACATAATACAGTAGAACCTCAATTAACCGGACTAATTGTTGTCGATGGGCATTCGGATAATCGATAATCTGGACAATAAAATGCATAAAGAATAATGTTGTGTATTTATTGAAAATAAAAATTACATACATAGATATCAACGAAAATCAATGTTTATTAAGAAATTAACACTTCCCTATGTTTGTACATACATATTTTCTTCGATTACATTACATACATGTACTAAATTGCAGCATAAATCATGCTAAAATTCAAAATGTAGGTATGTACATACATATAAATTGGTCGCGGTTGGTAGTCTGGATAATCGCGAGTCGGTATAACTGAGGTTCGGATAATTGAGGTTCTACTGTACAATAATTTTTATTAATAAAACACTGTAGGTAATAATAAACAAATAACTAGCTTAACTAGATAGGTGAATAGTGAATACCACCTTTTATAGGGCAGTATCAATCATCATGATTCACTTAAATCAATAATTCATACATTTTAAAACGGTAAATACTTAGTACTTCAATACATTTTGTTTTAATAATGAAATAATTATAAACAAAATACTTATTTTAATAAATAAATATTTCATACCTGTTGTAACATGTACCAATTCAGTCTATTGCTATTCAGTTCTTTGTAAATTTTTTTCCTGTGCTCTATTAATTTAGCTTTATTATCAGTGCAGTTTTCTAAACAAATCGGACTCTTTAAACAAATTTTTTCCCTCAGCTCATAAGCGCTCATAAGACGCTTTTTAAATAATAGTTGTAAATCTTGTAGCTGAAGCAACTTTTGTACATTATAGCTCGGCCTTATTTCTGAATTGAGAAATTTCAAACTCGTATACCTTACTTTGTATACATCTATTGGCTCTGTATTATCTTCACCGGCTTCTTTCTTACTACTAATAAAGATTTTGACTGGATTTCTATTTAGTAAACAATCATAAGACGTAAAAAAGCCTCCATTCAATTGAAACACTAAAGAATTTTCTACAAGATTCATAGAGTTTCGATTTTCTATATTAACTAGGCCAGAAAAGAATATACCCCATTTCAAAAAAATAATGTCTTTGTTCTCGGCGGGATAATGCTTCCATATTCTTATGAAGACACTTTTAGAAGAGGATTTGGTCAATAGTTCACAATCGATGTCACACCAAGCGGGATTATTATTATCGATTTTTTCGCTCGTGTAAAAGGGGGCACACATAGAAGTCAAGTGTAGGGTGTAATAGAAACTGCATTGGTTGTCATTTACCAAATTGTGCCCTGTGATTTGGATCAAATTTCTCAATCGCAATTGCTGAGTTACGAGCGGTGTCCATTCTCTACATCTTGGTCGCCCATGCATCTTTTACAATGTGATGCTAATCAATTACACTGCAAGACTTTATTAACTTTTCAACGAACTGTCATCAGGTGTAATAAAATAAATAAATAATCACACGAACCGATAACTGTTAACTGCACATGCTGAAGTTGCACATTAGACAAATGTCAAACTGACAACTTGCGCCGATGCAATGACAAAAAAATGTAAACACCCAATGGTGGTAGTCAGGACTCACGTACTAAAATAAAAACCAAATCTATTATTTATCTTTGACCAAATCCTTAATTGATGGCACTTGTCGCGTGGGGCGCTGCGGTTGCAAAACAAAATTATAAACTCTAAAAAATAAATAAAAACACGTCGCCGAATTCAAATTGGTTGTCATTATAAAGTTGATTAATTCGTAATTATTCCCGTAGGGTAAGTTATAGTAATCGCAAAAAAATCGAAAATATTTTTAACTTCTCTTAGGGTAAGTTATAGCAATCGCAAAAAAATCGAAAATGAAAATTTTTATATATCTTTACGTTTTAAAGGTTTCTGAATATTTTAGCATACCTTATTGTTAGATAAAATGTATTTATGTGTGTGCGGATTCAAATTTTCGTCGATGATTTTGGGAACACCGATCAACCAATTTGAATAATTCAAAAAACATTCGATTCGTATTGATAAGGAGACGGGCTGATTAGTTTTTGGCGAAGGCAGGTCTAGCCGTTCCGAAGATACGGGGCAAAAAGTCACAAAAATGGTAACTCAGTTTTTAAGAGAACGGAGCGTCCGATTTTAATAATTCAAAAAACATTTTACTTGTATTGACAAGATGAAGAACTGATTAAATTTTTGGCAAAGCAGATCTAGCGGTTGTAGACTCGCAATAAAAATAAGTTAAAAAAATGTCATTTGGCGGTCAAAAATGTTTATTGGACATCAAGTTATCAGATATTTTATAGAAATTTTAATAATGTGTACACATTTTGTGTAAATTTCTTTGTGTTCCGTACCAAGATTTTTGATTACGGTACGAATAGTTCCAGCAATTTGCCTTAAGGTATGATGCATGCAACCCACTAGTTTTTATATATCTTCACGAGACGTTCCGAGGTTTCGGAACACTGGCTGATTTCGGGAACACGCTTCAACCGATTTGATTGATTCAAAAAACATTCGATTCCTATTGATAAGGAGACGTGCTGATTAGTTTTTAGCTCAGGCAGGTCCAGCCGTTTAGAAGATACGAGGCAAAAAGTGCCAGAAATGGTAATTCAGTTTTTGAAAGAACAGAGGGTCCGTTTTCAGTAATTCAAAAAACATCTCGCTTGTATTGACAAAATGAATAATTGGTAAAATTTTTTGAAAGGCAGGTCTAGCGGTTTCGGATATCTAGTAAAAAAAAACAAAATCGTTCTTTGGCAGTCAAAAATGATCATTAGATACATGATATACGGACATCAAATTATCAGATATTTTATAGAGGTTTTAATATTAACTATTAATTTTGTTTACATTTTTATGAGATCCGTACCAATATTTATCCGTAAGACTGCGACGTGGCGCTTACGCGATTCGATATTTTTTTAAAAGTATTTCAAACAAGTCAGATTTTTCCAAAAAAAAAATAAAATTTTCAAAAATCTAATTTTTCAAAGTTTTGAAATTTTTTTAAAGTTTATATGAAAATTTTAATTTTTGGTACGGGAAGTTCCAGCAATTTTCACCACTAGTTAACGCTTCTATTCGTTTCTTTATAATTCTAGTTCTCTTTACATATTCGAATTATTACTGAGCGCTAATATTAAAGCCATATTCAAGCATATCCTGACTGAAACTTGAACGATTTTTTTGATGTGAATTAATCAAGTTGATCGAATATATTAAATTATTTTGCGTTTGGTTACTTTCTAATCAAAATTGTGGGCAATAACATGAACTTACCGATACATGTTAAAAATCGGTTTAATCAGTCAGAATCGATTATTAGATACAATTTTCAACTATTTCGAAAACAAAGTTTCCGCTTTTGCTAAAAACTGATCAATGCGATATTCTATTAGCATTCTAAACTTAAACAATCTTATAATATTTGTGATTATATAAATTTTTTTTTTTATTGTTTGAACAGCAATCAGAAGTCCTGTATGTTCTATAAGCTGTTGGTTAACGACTTAAGACTACTTATTTCATGAGAGGCAATCCATCGATTAACCATTCTCTTATGTGTGGGATATTCTTGATATTAGCTCTTACGTCTAGTAGTTAACATATGATTGAATGTTGCAGCTACGTCCACGAAGGACGATTTTCACTTGGAATTATATTGTGATCTATAACCCCAAGTGGAAATTTGACATCAAAGTTGCCTGATGTCGGGCTACGGCGGTAGCGGGAATCGATCCAGCGAACCTGGAACTAGTTGCCGCTAGCCCACGCTCTAACCGATATCGCCACCGCTGGCCGATTATATAAATATAATTAATTTATTTAACTCATTTTATACTTTTCAATGTTTTTTATTTAAATGTGAACATCAACGATAATCAGCAGGTACAAATAAAAAATTTAACATTCGACCACTCATCGTTGGCCTATAATATTTTTTTATGATGATTATTATTAGACAATAAAACATATCGGTATACAAAATTTCATCAACATTGTCAAGAATTTTTTTTTCAACAATTGGTTATGAAAAAACTGGAATTGAATAAATAATAAATACGAGATGTTTAAAACAATAAATATGGGTGCGTGATTCAAATAAAGATTTGGTAAAATTTAGTAGTTGTTACAACTAGCCCCAAACACGGGGTGAGCTGAAACACTGTACTGTTTCTAAAAAATTATTAATTGTGAAATAATGAACAACATTTGTGAAATTATTCGGACTTGGTAGAGGATAGTTACAGCAACTATACATCTTTTTTTTGTGGAAATATAATCAGTGGACTTCAGTATATATTGATTTTAAAAGCAACTGTGTTGCAACCAGCCACTAGCTCAACTACAGAAAATTCTCGTGTCATGATGTTCGTCGCAGTACTCCTCCGAAACGGTTTGACCGATTTTTACATAATATTACAATCGCAATCGATATGATAGGGAATCGGCCATCATTTATTTTTTATACCCCTAAGTGGTAAGGGTTGGCAACCTTTAAGATTTTTTTTTAGTTTTTCGATTATTTTTTATTTTATTTTATAATTTGTGATGAAAAACACATAGAGCCCTAAATTTTACCCTCCTAGCACAAACCCCTATTTCGTGAAAAAATTGAAATAAAAAAATATGTTTTTACTTTCCCCAAGCACTAATTGTCTCTTCTCAAGACAAAATGTTTTTTGAATCATTCGAATTGGATGCTTTGTGTAAAAAACTGCCATTTTTTATACTTTTGGCACTGACCTCTGAATTGGCTTGGCCTGTCTTTGCCGAAAACTAATCACCACTTCTTACCATAATTACGAATTAATTACCGCTTTTTCGAATCGTTCAAATCGGTTTAGCAGTGCTCCCGAAAATGCGGACGAAAAATTGTATCCATACATAAACATACACACACACACACACACACATATATATATATATATATATATCTGTTTTCTAAGATATGCCAAAATGCTCAGAAATCTTTGAAACGTCAATTTACGCAAACAAATTAATTTTAGATTTTTGGACGATTACTATAACTTATCCTACGAGAAGTTAAAATTAATGAATTAATGAAAACCGTGATAATAATAATATTAAAATGTGCCAATTCAATTCAAATAAAATGAGTTTCAGATTAAGCTGGCACTTGACTATTAATAAGCCCAGGACTATTAATAAGCCCAGGAAAGTTTATATATGGCATGCGTTGCAATGGGTCACATATATAGCACATACTTCCTCTTTGACAATCAGTTAGTCATTTGTTACAAATCTGCTAGAAATATTTTTAATGCTAAACAACGTTTACCAGGTCAGCTAGTATATCACGTCTATAACGTTTACAGGTTCAGCTAGTATATATATATATATATATATATATATATATATATATATATTGTCAAACCTCATAAATAATGATAATTTACTTCTTACTGTTTGTACAACTTGAGATTTAATATTAATCATTCGAAAGACTTTCATTTTTCAATTTGTTCAAAGTTAATCACTCATGGTTTAATTCGGCTCTGTGCATTATTATTAACCCGTGCATAACTAAAACTCTTAGAAAGTTTTTTTTAACGTTCTGCATGCATTCACAGCTTGGGCATATAATTCATATTTAATAAAATAATATCAGATTAAAAAATGAATTTTTAGTTGCATTCGTTCTAAATCAATGGGGATTTGAAAATATCATGATATAGTTTCCGAATAATAAATATGAAATGAATCGAGCTTAATAATATACAAGACTCTAAATAAATATTGTCTATTAAAATTTTCGTGCCATTGATAATGATTTGTCAAATTTATATGTTTGAGCTTCACATGCCCTTTGGAAATAATCTGAGAAATATCCTCAAATTCATTCAACTTTAAATTCTCCTTCAAAAGCTCATTCGGAAAAAAGTTGTATCGAGTCCGAAGTTAATTTTGAATGAATAAGTTAGAAATATTCAATCAATATTTAATATTCACAAAAGCTTCTGTTGTAGTTATTTCAATCCTGGCTTATTGCTGAATGTATACATTGATTTTTTAGTTTTAGCATATTTTCCTAGAGAATTCGTGGCAAGTGATAGATCTTCGCCCTTGCAACCACAAGGTTCCGAGTTTAAATTTTGCGTTACTTGCAACATCATATCAAGCACTTATGATATTCATTTTTATTCGAAAATATGGATCATAAATATATTTTTAATTGATAACTACCTTTACGGGCATAGCAGCAAAAAGGTTAAAAGATCATAACAATTAACTAATGGTGTATGGTATCGTGCCTTGGCAAATTGCTGAAACTTCGCATACGAAAAAAAATTTTTTCTAAAAAAGATGATTTTTTTAAAACTTTGAAAGAATTAGATTTTTTAAGAAATTTAAAATTTTTGAAAATAAGTGACTTTTTTTGGAAACAAAGACTTCAAAAAAGATGTTTTTTTTTATCTTGAAAATTTTAAACTTTTTTCAAAGCAATCGCACTGCATTAGCTACTTAGAGGCAAAATATCGAAGCGCGTAAGCGTCGTATCGCCGTCTAACGGATCAACATACATATTATTAAAATCTCCATTAAATATCTGATAAT